TGTCGCCAGCAGTGAACGAGATCTGTCTTAGAAGGAGGAAGACAGGAGACTGAGCTGGAGCACACTTCTGCCATCAAGGCGCTGCTGCACCATTTGAGAGTCCTGCTTCCTCCCAGCAAACTCCTTGGGCCAGTACATGTGCCACTTACTGCTCCCATTTCGAGATTCCTCTCCTCCTCCATCATGCTGGAGACTTGATTAATCTAGTCTGTTCGCATGTACTGTAATTACAGTGCAACAGAGCAGCCTCCCAGCTTGTGTACAGGCACCCTTAGAGACCAAGTCATTTGTTACTTCAGACTGAGTGTGTCTACACTAACTTTTATGTGTGCCTAAACTTAATGTACATTTGCCTAATGTGCATTAAGGCAATTTAAGCGCACATCTACTCATGCACACAGTAAAGCACATTAACGCAGTGTGCGGGCTGACTTTGACTGAAGTTAGTCCCAAGTCAGTTGACATACACAGCATTAATGTGCCTTAGCACATCTACACGTGTGTTAAGGCACTTTAGCTATTCATGCCTAAATTTGATACCTGTTTTTGCAGTTATCAAATTTAGGTGCAAATAGCTTAAAAATCACCATTTTTAAGGCGCATTAAGGACATGCATGTGTAGACACACACCCTTAATGCACCTTAAAAATGGCTAAAGTGTCTTAAATTGGCATATGTAGACACGCCCTCTGTGATTGTGCAGATGGAAGGTACCAACATACTTGCAGCTTAAGCTGCTTTCTCTCTACATATGTACAAATATAAACAAATCAAAGTTCTGCTTGGGGAAATACAACTGTCTTAGCTTTTAGTATGACCAAAGTACAACAGCACAAAAAACTGCAGAGCTCAAAGGCCTGAATCTGCTCTGCCTTAATTAATACAGTTGCTTCTTTATCTAGATTTACAATACTAGAGCCATCTTTTTAAGGTTCTATACACCCTAACATACTTTATTATCGTAAATACATTTAAATTAACCTCACCAGCACTGTAATCAGTACCACTGGAACTCAGCCAGTTAGTTACCCACTTCATTCATCATCCAGGACACACACCATCTGCTTTTTCCAGCAATCATACCAACTGGATGTACTACACCTATGCAGATCAGGAAGAACTCAGCTGGGGCAGAGACAGAGAGAGTATAAGAGAAAATTCAGGCCCTACAATGATATCGGAGGGGTATGGGATTAAAGTGCATAGGGAGTGCATAGAGAGCTGTTAAAACAGAAAATGAGAGAGTTAAATATGTTGGTATTCTGTCTATAGCTTTAGTTTTTGCCATCAGCCAACAGGCAGAGTTATGATAAGAGACTATGAAGATCTTCATTTTACAGAAATCAAAGTACTTCTCTCTACACAGAATCACAAACTTGACAGAACCAAGTGCACAGTTCAGATTTGCTTTATTTTCACATGCATAGCATAGAAGTGAATCTCTTAACAGTAGGGTGACCATATAATTCTTAAGGAAATCCAGGACAGTAAGAGAATCTGGGATGGGGAGTGTTGCACTCATGTGTGCACGCACACGCACCCGCACCTGCCCCACCCACCTCACACTGTAGCTCCCAGGAGCCCTGATGGCGGGCCAGGATAGCACGGAGGCTCATGGCCAGACTTCATGCCTCACATGCAGATGCTGGACTTGGCTGGGAGCAGCCTCTCCTCCTCGCCACCAGCAGCAGCCCCAACATGCAGCCCAGGCCTTGGCAATGGCCACTGTGACAGGCCACAAGGCTGCTGGTGACGGACAGCTGCCCCAGCTCACCCCACACAGGTGTTCCAGTCCTGGCTGATCCCCCACAGGCAGAAGGAGTGGTGGTCAGCCCAGCTGGCCACCGCCCAACCTGCCACTGCTGCTCAGCAGAAGCCAGGCCAGACACTGCTTGCAGCAGCAGCCTCTGCCTGCAGCAGCAAAATCTGGGACTTTTGCTTCAATTTACACCAACCAGCTGGGATGCCGGGAAAGCCTACAAAATTTAGGACCGTCTCAGCCAATCCAGGACACATGGTCACCCTACTTAACAGTCTCGCAAACTCCTACATGCTCACTTTAACAGTTCAGTGGCCGAGATACTTCTGTATCATGGCTGGAATATACTAAAGACAACTGAGAACAGAGAAAGCTTATAGCCAACCCAGAGGCAGGGTCCCTCTCTCTGCCGCCATGCCATTTAGGATTTAAAATCAATCCCCATGCTGTCTACGTATACTGGATGCTATATATCATATTATACATTATGGATTCACTTACTTTTTGACATCCAGAGAGCCATTTTCCTTGTTTTCCATGTCAACAGAAAGCATGGGAAGGACAGAGGTTTCTTTCACTTCAGAAACTGATCAATAAGGGGGGAAAAAACTGTGTTAAATTATTAGCAAGTAATTTAATGTAAAGCAATATAATGTAACAGAAACAAATGTTCTCTCCTAGACCACAGTTTTTCCACTGGAGAGCAGAAGTTACCGGTAAGGCCCTGCATTCCTCAGAACAAGAGCTGATAGCATCTAATAAACTAGGAAAAAGAAGGTGGCTGGTGCTCCAAACTGCAGAGGTACTTGCTTTTAAAAGTCAGTATTGCATGTTAAATTGTGTGTTAAATTTGACTCTTTTCCAAAATAATTAGGTATGTTCTATAAGTATTTTCTATGTCCCCCCTCACCCAGGTATCTTGAGTCACTCGCATATAAGTTTGTCCTCAACACATCTCTGTGAGATAGGGAAATATCAATACCCCCATTTTACAGATGGGGAACAAAGGCACATACGAGTCAGGCGGCTTACTCATGGTCTCACAGGAGACTTGTGCCAGAGACAAGAATTGAGCCCATAACTGCCACGACCATCCTTCCTGAGCTACTGCATACCTGTCCTGAGTTCAGAAGAGATAAGCTTGGACTCACCATAAACACAGTGAATTTGAAGAAAATCCAATTTGTTCCCGCTGTTTCCCATGCAGAGTGGTTGGATATTTTCCACAATAGATGTTTTTCCACCTCTACCATGTTCACAAGACACACGTAGAGGTGAACCAAGACTTTCTAATTTTTTTTTAGCAAGTCATTCCTATCACACTGTGTAACCAACCAAAGATTCAAGATGCTCTAACTGTGGCATTAATGGATTCCAACAAAATGTCACAGAACCCTGGGAAGAAGTGAGGAATGGGGAAATCATTATATTTATCTAAAGTTTACAAAAATCTATAGGGGAAATTGACATTATTTAACAAAAAACTTTTTGAAAAATAATATTATATTGATTAGCAAGATGCAAAACGCCAAATACAACTGCTACAAACTAAACAAAAAGGTGCTTCTTCCTGTAGTGTAGATCAGATAATTTAATGCAATTTCCCCAGATGGCTTACTTCGTCTAAAGAGATGACTGCAAAATGACAAGTGCAACAATTATACTATTCACAAAACATTCTGCCCAATACAGCGAAACAAGACTGAAAGAACAAATAAAGCTGCAAAAAGTGTGGTATTTTCATTTAGGAACAAACACACAGGCACACAAACTTCCAGTTTTTAATTACTGAGATTATCTATCAAGAGGTTGCCTCCCCCACCCCCCCCCTTCCCCCAGTGTGCAAGGAACACTTTCATTTGGAAACTGTTACACACATTCACCATTTTATAAGCATCTCAGAAATCATTCATCAGGCAACATTACACCACATTGTCATTTTTTTCTAGGAAAAAAAGTAAAAAAGAAAAACCTACCTACAAGCAACTAAAACAAATAATTTTACAAGCTTATCAAGAAGAGCAAAAGAACCCCCAAGGTTTCCTTTCATAAAGTAGGCTGGCAAAGGAATTCAATAAGGAGGTACAATTTGACACAGTGAAATAAGATCAGGCTGGCTTAGAGCCAGCATGACGTTAGGAAGCTCATACAAGCTGCACCGACTGCCTTCTGTTTCATGGCTGACTTTTTAAAGACACAGTGTTGTGCCTGCTCACTTTTTGCTAACTACCTCCAGCACACTTATCGAATGCTATAAGTCATAGCTTTCCCACGGTAGAACATTTAACACCTGTCTTGTAAAAAGAGCCTAGACTCTTTTGAAATGAATTAATTTCTCTCCCCGCCACTCCTGCCTTTCTTCATCGACCCACTGCTTCCTTTCTAATGCTTACACTGTTTTTGTTAAAAGTAATGAGGGCTTTCCAGTGAGCTGGACCCTAGTGAAAAATTCAGAGAGCAAGTGAGCAAATTTCAGATAGGAACGGGAAGAAATAACTGCAGAAGCTATTGAGCCTCGGTCTCCCTGTAAAAGTATTTGCCTCTGGAAAGATCTTCAGACAGCATCATTTTAGCTTTTTTTGTTGTTGTTAGGAAAGGTTACTTTCAAAGAGAGCAGTTAATCCCCAGTATCATTATGCAGGAGTGTAACACATTTAACACTCAATGCCAAATTCACGATTTGGGGTTTCTGGAACTTCCACCTTGTAAATACGTCCAACCCAAATGAAACATATTTAGTCAATTCAGTCAGAAGAAACTTTGCTCAAATGGGAAAGCAGCTTACCCAAGGGAACTTTTACATAAAGTCGAAGCAATTAGGTCTGGAAGGATTAATCGCAGAATGCACTTCTTTAATGGATGGGTTAATAACAAGAAGGACAGAATGCTCCTCCTGCCTTCCACAGCCAGAAACTGAAAGTTACTTTCCTTGCAGATGTGCGTTCAGTATGACAAAAGAGAGGTCTGACTGGAAGAGATGAATAGAGGAGCTCTGGGGAAAAGACTGCACCACCCTCAGCTGAGTTGTACCCTACTTTAAGCAGGCTTCTAGGGGCTATATTTGTAGAGTAAGATATTGTTTGAGGCAAGTACAACTGGCCAATTCTGGCCCTGTGAGAAGAAAGCAGAGACAATTTTCCACAACTAACACTATTTCTGAACGGCAATC